TAGGAGCCAGCAGTCCAGGATTATGAGAGGGATGTCTGACTGCTGGTTTAGGCCTGATCCCTGGAATTGTGCCTAAACTGGCAGTTGGACATACCCCAAGAGGTCCCAGATTGGAGAGGGTGCAGGCTGGGCTGAGGGAACCCTGCACCTCCATACATGAATTTCGTGCACTGGGCCTCTAGTCCTATATAATAAAAGCCTAATATGCTAAGTATCTGGTTGGCCATTCAACCAATCAAAGCGTAATATGCTAATGATATTCTAAGTTCACTCATCCACTCACTGTGACGTGCACTGACAACCAGGGGGCAGACAGTTGACTGGTTGACCAGTTGCTATGACATGCACTGACTACCAGGGGGCAGATGCTGCGACCAGTAGGTTAGCTTGCTGCTGGGGTCTGGCCGATCAGGACTGAGTAAGATGGGCAGGATATACCCTGCAGCCTTTCCACGGTCCTCCCCAGCTGGCCAACCTCCTGCATCCCTCCCTGTCCCCAGTCGTGCACCAATGGGGGTCCCTCGGCTTGTCCTGTGCCCTCTTGCAATCCAGGCTAAAGGACATCCCTCTCCCCAACCCCATGCTAGTGCACCAATTTCGTGCACCTGGCCTCTAGTTGATATATAATTTGTATACTATATACTTTACTCATTTAAAGTGTGTAGTTCAGGAACTAATTTTGCCATTGCTTTTAATTTAGGATCTTGTTTAAAATAAAGAGAATATACTTGTATTAATTTCTCCTACTGTGTCAACAGAAGGTCTTAAATAAATACACATCTTAATAGGTATGAGGTTGCCTATGTAGCATTCAGGACTTTCTCTTAAGTCAGTGAGTATAAGGAGATCTGCAATATTAAAAGTATTATAAATGGTTACTCAGTACAGTGTGTACCCAATTTTGACATCATGCTATGGATAAATATGCACTGGAAAATAAACTAAAGTACCACAGTGTATCTTATACTTTTGTAAACAATATTTTGTAGATAACTTTCCAGTTTTTCCCAAAAGGCTGATACATTTCAATATTTTGATTACATCTATGTTATTTTTGAGTTGGCAGAAGTAGCCTAACCAACTACCATTATGTTTTGATATTAGGGGATCTACATTACAATAAAGTTATTGAAATGCAAAAATGAAATAAAATAAAACATGCAACTCAGTGGTTTTCGGTGTATTTAAAGCGTTGTGTTAAACAATACCATAATTTAGTTTTAAAATTTTTATTATTTTCTAATTGAGGTGTAATTCACATTTCGCCATTTTAAAGTTATAATTCCGTGGATTTTAGTGTATTAACAAGGTTGTGCAACCAAAACCACTGTTGAATTCCAGACATTTTCACCCCCCCCCCCAAGAGAAACCACAATCCTGTTAGCAATCCCCCGCCCCCTCCCCTATCCTCAAGCAACCATTAATCTGCTTTCTGTGTCTGTGTCTATGGCTTTGCCTGTTCTGGGCATTTTATATAAATGAAATCACACAAAATATGGCCTTTGTGTCTGGCTTCTATCACTAAGCTTAATGCTTTCAAGGTATGTCATTCTTTTTTATGACTGAATAATATTTCATTGTATGGTTAGATACTCTATTTTGTTTACAATCTAATTTTAGAACATTTTGATCACTCCAAAAAGGAACTTTTTTTCATATCCCACCTACTTACCCCAACCTCGTAGTCATAGGCAACCACTAACCTCTTTCTGCCTCTACAGATTTGTTTATTCTGAACATTTCACAAAAAATAGAGAATATGTGGTCTTTTGTGACTGGCTTCTTTCAGAACATTTTAGGTTCATCCATATTGTATCAGGTATCAGTATTTCATTTCATTTTATTGCTGAATAATATTCCACTGTGTGGATATACCACATTTTATTTATTCATCAGTTGATTCATCCGGGTCCTTTTGCTTTTATATAGCATTTTTTCAAAGGGAAATAAGTATAGGCTACAGTTACTTATGAATTCACCCCTTTGTCTGTGGGCTTAGACAGATCATCCATTTAGTTGGCAGAAGCTGCTTACAAAGAAACATGGGCCAGTCCCAATATAGGAATTCATGCATTTCCTCCATCAGATAAAAGAATCCCAGCAAGACATGACTTTTCTGCTCTCCCTATGGCTTCAGGTTTCTGGTATTATCATTCAACTGAACGTCTTCATTTCCTGGGATACACTTGAAAAAAATGCCCTCCCTCCCATTGGAACACAAAGCCCAGCGGCCAGCTGAAGCCCTGGGGACAGCCCTGCCTTTAATCAGCTTGGAATGATTCTCTTACGCCTGCAGCACTGACAGGCTGTTGTCCAGCATGCTTGATCCTCTAGCGCAGAAGTGCTGAAAGAAAAGTTTAAAGATAAGGTTACTGGGAAAATTCCATTCCCCTGCTCTTTCTACACTCAATGGCAGTTCTGACAGCTCAGGAATTTTCACTTTGGTTTTAGACAATTTACAATGTGAGAGGGAGCAAACTAAGCTTCAAACTTGATGATGAGGGTTTAAGGATATTCTATCCTTGATGGCAAATTTCTCACCTAGAAGGTGGAAATAACTATATATACCTCAAAAGACTTGAGGATTAAGTGAAATAGTACATTGTCTAGCACTTGGTAGGTGCCTAATAAGTGCACGTTTTCTTTCCTCCTACTTATTTACATGGCGGTCATGAAGTTATGATGAGACCATCATGTGGAAGCAAATGTCCTCATATTCTCATGTAAACAGTGATAGATATTAGACAAATGGTTATACTCCAGCTTAATAGACACATTCCTTTTATTTTTAAGCCAAGTGTTATTTATTTAATTTTAAAGATTTTTAAAAGTTGATTTTTGAGAGAGAAAGAGAGAGAGAGAGAGAGAGAGAGAAGAGAGAGAGAGAGAGAGAGAGAGAGAGAGAGAGAGAGAGAGAGAGAGAGAGAGAAACAGTGGCCTCTTGTACTTTCCCTACCAGGGATCAAGCTGGTAACACGTGCATGTGCCCTGACCAGGAATCAAACTGGCAGCCTTTTAGTGCACAGGACAACTGAGCCATACTAGCCAGAGCATTTATGTCATGCTTTAGAATTGAACTACAGAAAAACTATCTTTAGTGTTTCGTCCTGGTTTAAAGATCTGAAGCATCATAGAAGTACATAGTAATAATTATAACTTAAGGAGTGCTCCCCCAATATTTCTAGTGCCCATCCGGCACCATACGTAGCCCATCCACTTCTTAAGCTCTGAACCTTCCGCTCTTTTTTTCTGGTTACTGGCGAGAGGGCTATATAGATCCACATGTTCATGGAAAGCACTAAAGAAAAACTGCACAAAGCCACTTCAACATATGAAATAGGTACATTGAGCTAGCTAGATTTTTTTTTAAAATATATTTTATTGATTTTTTTACAGAGAGGAAGGGAGAGAGATAGAGAGCTAGAAACGTCGATGAGAGAGAAACATCGACCAGCTGCCTCTTGCACACCCCCTACCAGGGGTGTGCCCATAACCAACATACATGCCCCTGACTGGAATTGAACCTGGGACCTTTCAGTCCGCAGACCGACGCTCTACCACTGAGCCAAACTGGTTTCGACTGAGCTAGCTAAGTTTTTAAGTCATGCCAAGTAAAATTGTTCTTTTTGCTATTGTCACTTATTGTAACTAGTAACTGTTCTCTGCTGCTGCTCTCATACATACCTGTCCTGTTCTGTAACTGCTGATGCTTTTCTTAGGGATAGTTTGAGGCCCAACCTAAGAACGTCTTCTCTGACCAGTCCAACTTATGAGATTTCCCCATCTTCTGGTCAGATGTAATTCTTATTGTCTGTTCTATTTAATATGTGATAGTACATATTCTATACTATGTTCTTTTAAAAAAGAAGGCTTAGCCGAAATCGGTTTGGCTCAATGGATAGAGCGTCGGCCTGCGGACTGAAGGGTCCTGGGTTCGATTCCGGTCAAGGACATGTACCTTGGTTGCGGGCACATCCCCAGTTGGGGGTGTGCAAGAGGCAGCTGGTCGATGATTCTCTCTCATTGATGTTTCTAACTCTCTATCCCTCTCTCTTCCTCTCTGTAAAAATCAATAAAATATATTTTTAAAAAAATAAAAAAGAAGACTTAAAAGAACTTGTATGGTGTCATATAGCTACTAGATTTATCAGGGTGATCACTTCATAAGTTATATAAATGTCTAGTCACTGGGTTATACACTTGAAACTAATATAATATATGTAACTTGTAATTGAAAAATGAAAAGTTATTTAAAATAAAAAAAGAAAAATATTTAAAAGAAGTAAATAAAATCACCTACAATCCTATCAGAGACTAATCTTATTAACATTTTGGTATATTTTCTTTTAGTCTTTTTATTTTCTCCCTCTGTATGTGATTTTACAGGATTTATATCATACTGTAATATAATATTGTATCTCATTTTCAGCCTTAACGTTACCATAAACCATTTGTAAGTGGTATTTTAAAAGTTACATATTATTTCATGGTGTGGATTGTGACTTATTTATACTTTTTCATGCAGATTTTTCTCATTAGTCCAATTGGGATTATGAAGGGAAGTCACCCTACTGAATCACTCCTTTCCTACTGTAGTGCTTGTAGAGAACATTGTGTATGTAGATGATTAATAAATATTTTGCTTGCTCCTCTGTTTTCAGTCTAATATTACAGGGACTATTTGCTATAGGGGACTGAAAAATATTATTTGCAGCTTATGCAAAGTTATTGTATCACCCGTTTTTCACCTAGAAAAGGGGACACTGATGACATCTTTGCATGTATTTTAAGGGCCTGTAAGTCTTTTGCAATTGTATGAGAATATTTTCAGTGAACATTTGTGCATTTTCCTGCATTTTTCATTAGATTTTTAAAGAAGTCTCTAACCAGCAGCCACAGATCTAGAGGCTGGAATCCATCTGAATGGAGATAGATATATTTATTAACTTATCTGAAATCTAAGACATTATGTTTCACCTTTTCTTTTTCTTGGTTTTCAGGAAGGGATGAGACCATGCAGCCTGCAAAACCATCTTTCCTTGAATACTTTGAACAAAAAGAAAAGGAAAATCAGATCAACAGCTTTGGCAAGAGTGGGTCTGGTCCACTGAAGAACTCTTCAGATTGGAAAGTGCCACAGGATGGAGACTATGAGTTTGTAAGTAGTGTTAGAAGTGGTAATGTGTGCTGGAGAAAGCGATTTGAAGTATCACGCATCCAGTTCTGTCATTTTGCTGAAAGTGCCTGAGCATTTTCCTATGCGTTTCAGGTCTCCTCTAACCAGCTCTGGAAGCAGCTCCGGGGCTGAGGCCTCAGGAGTTTGAGACAACAGCATTTGACATTAAATAGTTAGGCTCTCCCAGTTAGCAGCATCTTTTTCTCTTTAAAAATCCTTTATTCACTTGCCATTTTTCTTTTGTTGAGTTTGAAATTGGTAATGGTAAAAGAAATGTTCAGTCATCAAATGAAAATGCGAAGTCTTTAATAATTTATTTGAGATTGTGAGGTTTTATTTAAGGATTAGTGTAGAGGGCAGTTAATGCTGCTTGTAGTGTCTTTGTTGTTTTGCTAACCATTATCTTCATTTTAGGCTCTCTGAGAGGATTATTCTGAATTTTGCCCATGGATGACCATTAAGTTGTTCCAAAGTTTCTTATGAAAAACTGGGTGTGTTTTATTCTTTCTCTGCTGTGGAACATTCTCCTGCAGCCACAGATACTTGTTAAAGTTCACAGAGATTTAATGAGTAGAGGCAATAAAAAAAATTGGGGGAAGGAGGAAAAGCAAGCTAAGGAGTGTGCATTCCTTTTCTGAATATTTTTAGAAAACAATTTTCTCTTTAGGGATATTTAATTTTTACTTTTTAAAATTTTTACATTCTTAAATTCTGTCATAATTCTGTTGTTGATTATAAGAGCTTAGCGTAAGCATTTTATTTGGATTCTGAGAGAGGCCTTTCTAGTCCTTGCTTTCCACTGTCCTACTGACTGGCTTAGAGGAAATGATGTCATTCTTCCATAATATAATTTCTACTTTTGTGGAGCAGAAATGTCACATTGTACAGCTAATGATAGAAATTTGAGGACCAGGATAACTCACCTGAGGTTATTTAACTGATCAGTTACTGAGTCCATGTGAGAACCCAGTTCATTTGTTTTATAATCTGTGTTCATTTATTCATCATCTACTATGCATTATCATCTGTCATTTTTTGTTCACTCATTTACTTATTAGTTTTTTTGAGTATCAATGTATGCTTGATACTAAATTTATATGGGATTTTCTTTCTTTCCAATTAGGTGCTTTAGAAGTTCAAAGATAAGGATGTGTTTATGTTTTATTAATATTGCATGATTTAAAATTTTTCTTTTTACTCCCCTTTTGAGCTTCCTGTACTCTTACTAGAGCTATCAAATAGGAAAATGCGTATTTGTAAGTGACATCTGGCAAAGAAAGAACCAGCCCGTGGAGTGAAGAAAGGACTCTGGATAATCCCACTAAGTTTAGAAAAGGGTGTGTGTCAGACTAGCTGACATGTTTCCCTCAACAGTCTCTACAGAGACTTAGTTTCCTGGCAGGCACTATTTAATTATGGAAAATAATTTTCTTTCTCCCTGTGAAGGCAATTGCTATTTTGAAATGAATTTTTTGCCCAAAATGGCAAATAGGGAGTAATTTAATCAGAAATGGCAGGATGTAATGCTGACAGAAATCTTTATATTTTCATCTGAAACTCAATACTTGTTACAATTCTAAAATGAAATTGCCTCATTTGCCAAGTTGAAAATGCGACATAGATTTCCTTTAATGTTTAATATATAAAGAGATTAAATATAAATAGGTGCTTGAGGATACAATACTTTCTAAAATTTGCATTTCATATTCTCTAAACAGACTGCATTTTTGGTAATGAGTGCTACTTTTGTGAGAATTCAGACCCTCCCGCTTTGCCATTTGTAAAGCCACAAGAAGCTGTAAACTTAAATGCAGTTTGACTCATGAATCCTCCGAAAATACACTGGGAGATTTCAGTCTAAGATGCCTGGGTGCCTGGAGTCATGAACAGGACAGATGAGGCTCGTGCTCTCCTGGAGCTTAAGTGTGCTGAGGGAAACAGACATAGTCAGGTCCTATATCAGTTTGAGTAATAATCATTTAAAGGAAAAAGGGCGGTGACGAGGTAATGTGAGAGGAGGCCTTGCGGGGGGTGACATTCAGCTAAGACCTGAACAAAGACCAAGGCTAGCCATGGGAGACTGGCGGAGGGACCAGCGGGACACCGGCCCTGAAACAGGACATGGATGTATGACAGGAAGGAACAAAGGCCACTGTGGCCGAGCAGAGGAACACAGGCTAGCAGTTACATAGCAATAATCACAATACATGTGAATGCGTTAAAATCTGTTAAAAGACAGAGACTTGGCCCTAGCTGGTTTGGTTCAGCTTGGATAGAGCATCAGCCTGCGGACTAAAGGGTCTCAGGTTCGATCCGGTCAAGGGCATATGCCCAGGTTGCGGGTTTGATCCCCAGTAGGGGACGTGTAGGAGGCAACCGATCAATGGTTCTCTCTCATCATTGATGTTTCTATCTCTCTCTCCCTCTCCCTTTTTACTGATTTGAAATCAATAAAAAAATTTAAAAAAAAGAGGATGTAAAATTAAGAGTCATTATCTTTGAGGAAAGGAATTTTAGTTTTAGTTGTTTTTACAGCAAGAATGTATCACTGTATTAACATATTACTTGCTTTAATTTAAAAAAGAGTGGCGCATATTTTTTTTTTTTAGATTCTTAGATTTCCTCGTTTTATTCTAGAGTTAGCCAGAGTGTCTGCAGATCTAGATGAACCACAGTACTTTTCAATGTTATTAACTCTACAAGTATTGTTGATTATTAGTTCTTAGTATCCTTGGGTTTTGGAGTAAGTTTTCTATTTATTCAAGTGAAGTTGTTTCCAAGTTTCTTATGACTTATTCTATAAAAAGAGTTGTTAGTACCTAGCCCCCACAGATTAATCTAGTCACTGACGTCCTCATGTGTGCTTTGTATGAATAGGCAGGATTGCAAGGTCCTTGACAGCTGGGATTTTATTATATTCATTTTTGTATTCCTAACACCTACTAGCAATTGCCCGGCTTAAGGTCGGCACACTATTTTCACTTAAACTCAGACACAGTCTCTGAAGTAAATCACTGCCCTGAGAGAGTTCATAATGTAGCAGAAAAGATAATAAATTAGTTTTGATACACTGTGTTAATAACAATAGCTTACATTTATTGAGAATTTACAATGTGCCAGGCATTGGTCTAAGTCCTTTATGCATATAACTCAATCCTCACAACCTTCCCATGAAGTAGGTAATGTTATTATTGCCATTTTAGGATAAGAAAACTTGAGGGTTAAAGGGAGTAGGTAATGATTAAGTTTATACGAATAATAAGTGGCATAGCAGGGATCTGAAGCAAAGCAGTTGGCTCCAGAGCCCATCCTCTTAACCACCTACACTGTGGCCTCCCTCTAGGCTATTCTGGCAGGTTCTGCTCATAAAGTACATATAAAAAGTGCAGTAGGGTGCCAGAAGGGGGAACAAGAACTCCAGGTAAAGCATTAAGTAGTCCCATTTGAAGGGTATTTTGAAAGATGAATAGAAATTCTCGAGCTAGAGAAGGAGGGAAAGGGCATTCTGGGCAGAGAGGGAAGTGTGACTGTGGAGGCGTTGAGGAATGTGGAATGCCAGGAATTACTGAGAAACTGTATTTGGAGCATGCAGACATGGGTAGGTGTGTGAGGAAGGGGGCAGAGGGACTGAGAGAGAGCCCCTCAGGTGAAATAAGGGAGCGCCCCAGTGTGCCCTTATTTTTGCTGGAAACATACAGGACTTGTTTTAGATTTTTTCTTGGTGAGTCAGAGAAATTAAAAATAGAATTCTAATAAAGCACAAAGGGCTAATAACCTAAATATTAATATCTCTCTGAAGTTGTGTGATAATGGTCCACGAGGATATAAAACCATTAAACTGTTAATTCTAAATTAATTTGATAAAAGAACCTGAACAAGATTGATCAATTGGATTCCCTGGGTAGTTATACAGTCATAAACTCATAGCTTTTTGTGGTTAGGAAGGATAAATTTTAGCCCCGAGTTTTCCCCAGGAGGCTGATAGTCCTGAATTTATGTAACTTTATCTTAACCATCCTTTTCTAGATTGGGGCTTCAAATATGATGGCGATGTAGAGATTTTTGGGGTTTTTATAAAGAAGCTTTACTAAATTAATAGGACATAAGTCACTTTTTTTTAGGTTGCACTTTTTCCTTTTGATTATACACTTTAGAAGTTAGACATTTGGTGGGAGGCGAGATTATTATTAACTTATTTATAATTTAAAATCATGATTGCTGTGGTGCAGAGATGCTTCATTTATTCATATTTAAATTAAATATTCCTAAGGATGCAACTTGATGTTTTGTGGAAACCCAGGTATCTATAACTTGAAACTTTTATCTGCCATCTTTTAGAAACAAAAGAAACATTCCCAAGCTTTGTCTTTGAATTTATGGTCCACGTTTTTCAAAATGAATTTTTAAAAATTAGTGTATATCCTTAAATATCCTAACCTCCACTTGCCAGATAGAACCTAATGAAGTTTCCACTACTCAACAGTAACAATCATCAACTCATGACTCATCCTCCACTTCTAATATTCCCTCCACTTGATTATTCTGGAAAAAAAATCTCTGGCATATTTCACTTTTAAATATTTCCATATCTATATATATAAAATCCTAAGTGACCCTTAGGACCAGTCAACCATTCACTAAGATGACACCCTGACCACCATGGGGCAGACGCTTTACGAAGGAGCTGCCCCCTGGTGGTCAGTGTGTCCCCACAGCCAATCTCCCGCAGTCCCTCCCCGCAGCCGGTGGGCCCGATTGGCCATGCTCAGGGCCAGCCAAACCCCAAGCCCCAATCAGCCCTATCGGGACTGTGTTAGATGAGCCCTGATAGCTGGCCAGGCTGAGGCACCCCACCCGTGCATGGATTTGTGCACCGGTCCTCTAGTGTGTCTATAAAGATCTTTTTAAAAGGCATAACCACAATATCTTTATTAGACCTTTAAAAATGAACAATAATGATTCTTTCCCAGTTGGTATGGCTC